GTGATTATCGTCGGCCCCACAAAGTTGCCCTTCTCGTAGCCGGGCACGGTGATGTTCCGCCCGTCAAGCAGAATCTTCGCCCCCTCGTCGGCGGCGCTCTGAATGAGCGAGTGGATGCGGTTCTTCGCCTCCGGCGAGATGACCGGCCCCAGATCGGCCTTGGGCACTGCGCCGCAGTTGACATTCAGTTTCTTTGCCCGCTCCACCAGCTCGGGAATCCAGGCATTGGCCTCGCCCACAAAGACCATTGTGCTGAGGGCCATGCACCGCTGGCCGGCGGCGCCAAAAGCGGCGCCGACAATCTGGTTCAGCGTGTGCTCCTTATTGGCATCAGCCATCACCACGCCGTGGTTCTTCGCGCCCATGTTCGACTGCACCCGTTTGCCGTTCTTCGAGCCGCGCTCGTAGATGTACCTGCCCGCCTGGTCGGAGCCGACGAAGGAGATAGCTTTGATGGCCGGGTGGTCGCAGACAAAGTCCACCGCCTTGTGCTGGCCGTGAATGACGTTGACGACGCCCGGTGGGACGCCCGCCTCCTCGAGCATCGCCATGAGGTCCATGCAGGCGCCGGGCACCCGCTCCGATGGTTTCAGCACGACGGTGTTCCCGGTGACAAGGGCTAGGGGAAAGACCCAGCAGGGGACCATCATGGGAAAGTTGAAGGGCAGGACGCCGGCGACGACGCCCAGCGGCAGGCGGTACGAGTAGCTGTCCATGTCCTGGCTGATGGCGGGCATCGTCTCGCCCATCATCAGCGAGGTGACGCTGCAGGAGTGCTCCACCACCTGCAGGCCGCGGAAGACGTCGCCCTGGGCGTCGACAATGGTCTTGCCCTGCTCGCGGACGATGCTGTCCACCAGTTTGGGCTGAGGATGAAATGATGAGTTTGATGATTGTTTCAGTTGATTCACACACACGCTATTCACTTACCGTGTTCTTCTTGATCAAGTCCTGCAGCTTGAACATCGTCTGCTGTCGCGTCAGAATGGAGGTCTTGGACCAGGTCTTGAAGGCGGTCTGGGCGGCGTTGACGGCCGCCTCCATCTCCTCAGTGGTCGCCTTGGGCACCCTGGTGATCACCTCATTGGTCGCCTGCAAAAGAAGGCAAAAGTGTTAGTGTTGCTTTGTTTACATATTCTGCCCAGCGACATTGACTGCTCACCGGGTTGTGCAGGTCGATCCACTCGGTGGTCTTGGACTCCACAAACTGTCCGTTGATGAAGAGCTTGGTGTTTGGCTGTTAGCATGGAAAAGGTTTAGAGGTTACTTCACAGTTGTTGTCATCGGTTGTCAACCGAACCAAATCAGGATTACTTACCACTGAAGAGAGCAGACGACTCGAGGAGGAGGCAGCGCTGCCATTTCGGGCACAGTGCAGAAGGACCGATTTGCCCACTTGGGCCAGTGTCAGGTGCTGCATGATGATTTTCTGGTGTGTGTCACGAAGAAGGGACGCCGATGAAGTGTGTCTGTGTATGTCTGCTGTCGATGTCTTGTGCTGCTTAGTAGCAGGCCAGCAGCTCGATCAGCCGATGCGGCGGCGGCGACGACGGTGATAGCCTTGAAGCAGCAAACCAGCGTCAGTTTCTTCTCTCCCTCTCACGTTCTCTTCACTGTTGTCATCTCAACATTGGCAAGCTATATACAGCTGCAGTCTTATCAGCCCACAGGCCACTTCTTCTCTCTCTCCTCTCTCTTCGCAGCAGCGAGGATTGCCCATCACATAGAGAGCAGACACTTTCCTGCAGTCTCTCGTTGCAGTGCTCGCCAATCCACAGCCATCAGCAGTTGTTAGCAGTTGCTGGGGCAGACTTTCACTGGTGTGTTAATCGAGCCACCAGTTGCCTCTGTCGTCTTCACTGGCGCTCACAGTTGTACGATTTGCCCGTACAGTGTCAGTTTTCCATCACCACCATCACCATCATCACTTAAACTACTGACAGTCTCTTTATTTGAGTAACAGGCTACTTCGACATTCGACTGACACTACATTTTGATAAAACGGAGTCTACTCTACTCTACTCTAAATTGATAAGGATAAGAAGGTCGCTCAGAGAAGTGCTGGTTCAGTCGAGCGGACAGCTGTTGAGGGTGATGAGGCCCTCCAGCTTGACGTTGCTCAGACTGACCGGCTGGCCGTTCATCTCGAGGATGCGCAGACAGCCGAGGTAGTCATCGGTGACGCCGTTCAGCAGGCGCCGCTTCTCCTCCTTCATCTTCTCGGGGAGGCCGCCGATGAAGAGCGGGTCCTTCGTGTCGGTGGAGCTGATGCCCGCCTGGCCCATTCCCAGCTGCGTCTCCTCGTCCACGTTCAGCGTGACAATGTTCTTGTTCTTCAGCACCTCGATGGTGTGCCACTGTCCGTTGCAGAGGCTGTCCTCGCCGACGTTCGTCGAGGTGGCGGTGATCGGGCCCTGAAGGGAGAAAGAAGAAAGTAGTTATTAAAAATGTTAACGAAAATGTCTTTTTTCAAGTCCCCTTACCGCTCCGTTCTCCACCGTGAAGACCACCTTGCCCTTTTGCAGGTACAGCGCCAGGAAGTCGGTCTTGCCGAAGACCACCGCGAGAATGCCGTCCGGCTTCCGCGGTCGCACCATGATCTTCATGGTGAACTCCACCCGCACGCGAAACTCCTCCGCCAGGCGAATATGGCCGCCGCCCTCGTAGTGGAAGAAGTTGCCCGGCTCGACGCGGTCCGAACAGGGCGCCACATTGACCGGCCGCCCGTTGATGAACTCGTACTCCACCTCGCGCATCGTCAGCCGGCGCAGGCAGCCGGCGAAGCTGGACAGCGCGTAGCTGTAGTCCGTCTTCTCGGCGCTCTTCAGGTGGCTCTTCACCTGCGAGGCGAGCTCCTCGGGCACGCCGCCGACGTACATCGGCGAGCGGACATTGAGCGAGGTGGTCGAGCCGGCCGAGGTGAACTCCGCCGTCGCCTGGCCGTCGTCCACGTCCAGCCGACCGCGGTTGTCCTTCCGGGAGAAGCGCACCTTGTGCCACTGGCCGTCGTTGTACGCCTTGCCCTCCAGCGCCACCACGCCCCGCCCGGAGCCGCAGTCGAAGCCGTAGTGCAGGCGGCCGTTGACAAAGTACAGGCCGATGAAGTCGATGCTGTTCGCCGAGGTAATGTAGAAGAGGATGCCATTCGCCTGGACGGTCTTGAACTCGATGCTGAAGCCAATCTGATTCTCAATCGACTTGGAGACGTCCTGGGAGATGGAGAACTCGAAGCGACTCCAGAGGCCGTCGCCGAAGCGGACCTCCTTGGCGCGCAGCACGTCCCCTCCGGAGAGATCACCTCCTTCACCTGCTGCCGGGACCCTGGGAATGGGCGGCAGTTTGCAGCCGCCAATGGGCGGAAGCTGTCGGTGGGCGGGCCGTCTCATCAGGGCCGTCTTGTCGCCATCCACGCCTCCCCCTCCTAATTTGGAGCCGCTCAGATAGCCACTGAAGTAGCCACTGCCCCCGCCGTCACCTCCCTCTCCCACTGAGAGGTGACACCGCGTGAACTGCGCATTCCGCTTCTCCACCGCATCGACCATGTTCATGTACGCCTCGTTGATGGTAATGTCGCCGATGCAGCCGGTGAAGTCGCCAAAGGCCGAGCGGAAGCTGTCCCGCAGCTCGGCGCGTACACCGCCCACGTAGAGCGTCGCCAGGGTGGCCGTCTTCACGGTGACATTCGACTCCACCACGTAGCTGTGGGCGTCGTCAATGTCCATGCGCATGACGTTCTGCCCGGCGGCGGCGCCGGGCGTCCCGCTGGTCAGCTCCAGCGTCACGTAGTGCCACTGGTTGTCGTTGAAGACTCGACTCACCGTCTGCCGCCACTCGCCGGCGCTGTTCCGCAGCACAATCATCCCGTCGGCCAGTGAGACGCTGTAGAAGAGGTCCCCGGCCTCGCTGGCCAGCATCACCAGCAGGCCATTGTTGGAGAGGGTGCGGAACTTGAAGGCCGCCTGCAGTGGGCTGTCCGGCTCGCCCGGCGCCGGCTCCGGCCCCAGCGTCTCCTTCTTGATGGCGTGCTGCACAAATGAGCCGCCCTCCGCCTGTTCGATGGTGTCGGTGAAGGAGACGGTGCGGACGATGTCGGCCGAGCAGCCGGCCGTCACCCCGTAGGAGGCCTTGTTCTTGTTCAGGTTGATGGTGCCCGAGTCGATCTGCAGGTCCTTGATGCAGCCGTCGAAGCTCTCCTTGGTCACCTCGTAGTAGGGGTGGGGGCCCGGGAAGCCGCCCAGGTAGACGTTCTCGTCCGCCGTCAGACTCGACTCGAGGCCAATGGCGAAGCTCATCTTCTCGTCCTCGGTGTCCACATTGAGGCTGCCCTCCTTCGCCTCGCGGCTCACCTTGACGATGTGCCACTTGCCGTCGTTGTAGGTGCCGTCGGAGACCAGCGCCGTCACGGCGCTGCCCAGGTCGTAGCGGAGCGCCACATGGCCATTGTCCAGCTCAATGGACTGGAACTCCTTGCCGATGGCGTCGCCGACCAGCATCAGCAGGCCGTTCTTCGAGAAGGTCTTGAAGCTGAAGACGACAAAGACGTTCTCTTTGAAGGTCTCTGCCGTCGGTTTCTCCAGCACCACGTAGCTGTTGCCGTTGAAGCGGAGGCTGTTCTCCGTGGCGTCCTCGTTCACGGCACTGCCCTCCACCCGGGCGACCTCCTTCAGGTTCCACAGGCCCATCGGCTGGTTGTCGAAGATGACATTGCTGATGGTGCCCACGAAGCTGGCGCTGCCGACGTTGCTGCTGATGCGAACGCTGGGCGAGACGCCGCCCACGTAGATGTGCGACCGGCCGGGGTGAAAGTTGAAGATGCTCTTCGAGCCCTCCGTCAGGTCCTTCTTCTCGGTGGTGCGCTCCTCCGACTTGACCGTCAGCTTGACCAGCTTCCCGAAGCGCTCCACCGTCACCGTGTGCCACTTCCGGTCAAAGACGTACTGGTCGTCGAGGATCTCATTCGTCTGCCCGGAGCCGAGGTCCCAGGTGAGCATGACGCGGCCGCTGCGGATCTCCAGGCACATGTACTCTAGATCGTCACCTCCAGCTGCTCGTTCCTCAATTTCTCGCTTCTTTTTCTTGGCCACCGCCTTTGACTTTGCCTCGCCAATGTACGCCAGCAGGCCGTCCGGTTCGTCGGCGATGAACTGCAGCGAGAATTTGGTGTACGTCGAGGACTCGGGGAGGTTGGGCGGGCTGTTCAGCTCTAGGACCGAATCGCGGCTGAACTTGGCCGCGATGCGGATGTTATTCGCCAGGTGCTTTGCAATGGAGATGCGCTTCTTCAGCTCGCCGATCTGGTCGCCGATGGTCTCCTTCTGGCGGCGGAAGGTCGCCTGGCGCTCCTCGAGCAGCCGCGGGTCGCTCAGCTCGCCGCCGGTGGTGTCGTTGAAGCGGCGGATGTAGTCCCGTGCCTCGTTCACCTCATTGGAGAAGGCGGTGTAGGCGTTGAGACCCCGGGGTCGACTGCGCATCAGACTGATCATGCTGTCCAGCTCGGTGACGTTCTTGTCCAGCGCCGTGACGTTCTTCACCAGCCGACTGATGTCCTCAAAGCGGGCGGCGTCGATGTTGGTAATCTTAATGGTGTCGATGGCGGCCTTGATCTCGGCGAATCGGGCCAGGCGCTCGTCTGCGCCGCCGCCAATCGTCCCGATGGTGGTCGACTGGTCGTTGAGGTTGATGCTCAGCTCCTTCAGGCGGTACTCGGTGGTGGTCAGCTCAGAGTTGAGGTTGCGGACCTCGGCGGTGAGGCCGGCGTCCAGAAGCGAGGCCGGCTCGACGATGCGGTCGTTCAGCCAGGCCACGGCCTTCTCCGCCTCGCCCACGGCGGCGCTGATGTTGTTGTAGGCGTTGGCGGCGCGCAGCGGATCGGTGGCCACCGTCTTGGTGGAGGCGAAGAGCGTTCGCAGGCTCTCCGACTGCGCCTTGCTGGTGGCGGCGTGCTCCACCGCCTGCCCCACCTCCCGCTGCGTGTCCGGCAGGTCGCGGTTCATGGCGTCCATGGCGGCGCGCAGGCGCTCCATGCTCCCGCCCAGCTTCTCCCGCTGCTGCGTCAGGTCGATGGTGTCCTTCAGCTGGTCGACCATGGCGGCGCGCTCATCCAGCAGCGCCCGCGCCTCCTTCGAGTGGTTCGTCGTCAGCTCGAGGCTGCTGTCAATTTCGGTGATCATCGCACTGATGGACGCCTTCAGGGGGCTCTTGTTGATGCGCTCGGCGTTGATGGTGTCCTCGCGGGCCCGCTGCGTCAGGTTCTTCATCTCCGCGACGAGGACGCTCATGTTGGCGAACTTGGCGGAGAGGGCGACAATGTCCGCCTTCAGCTGATTGGAGGGGCGGATGAAGGCGAGCGACTTCTCCAGCGTCTGGTTGAACATCTCAATCTGCATCGACTCCGGGTAGGCCTTGAAGTTCAGCTCGGCGATCTCCTTCACGATCTGCTCGCCGTCCTTCTTCCGCTTCTCATTGTCCTTCTCGTTGGTGCCATTCTGATAGCCCGCCTCGATGATGTTGATGTTCTCAATGACCTGGGCGGTGAAAAGCTTCACCCCTTTTACCTCGTTCTCGAGGAGCATCGAGTCGTTGTGGATGGTCAGAGCTCGCTGGTTGGTCTTCTTCAGGTTCTTCTCCACGGCGTCAAACTGTAAAAAATGTCGGAGGAGCTTTGGTTTTAGAACTGAAGACAACAGACTTTTGTTGAACCACTTACCTTAAAATCGAGCTTTTCAATGCCGCCACTGAGCTCACCCAGAACCTCCCTGACCTTGGAGAAGGCAGCCAGCCGTTTCGTCCGCTCCAGCGTCTGATTGAAGGTCTCCTTCAGCTGCCCACCCAGCTTCTCCATCTCCTCCTTCATGTGGTTCAGCTTGCGGTAGTAGAGCACCGAGCTGGACAGCCCGAGGACGTCATTCTGCACCGGGTCGATCATCGCCTGCAGGTCGTCGGTGTCGTTGAGGAGGACGTGGACGCAGTTGCCGCACTCCTGACAGCCGGCNGCCCAGCTTCTCCATCTCCTCCTTCATGTGGTTCAGCTTACGGTAGTAGAGCACCGAGCTGGACAGCCCCAACACGTCATTCTGCACCGGGTCGATCATCGCCTGCAGGTCGTCGGTGTCGTTGAGGAGGACGTGGACGCAGTTGCCGCACTCCTGGCAGCCGGCGTCCGGCACCAGCACCCACCGGTCGGGGCACTTTTCGCACTTTTCCCCCACCACGCCGGGCAGACACTGGCACTGGCCGGTGAAGAGGTTGCACTGCGTCGCGCGGCTGAACTTTTCGTTGCACTTGCAGGCTGTATGACGATAAAAGATAAATTAAATTCCAAAAGTCCCAAACACTCCCATCTACTCACAGGTGCATCCAAACTTGGTGTAGCCCCAGTAGCCGGCCATGCAGGTCTCGCAGTGCTTTCCACTCGCTCCCGCCTTGCACTTGCACTGACCCTCCTCGTCGCAGTCGTGGCCGATGGCCGCATCGGCGCACTTGCACGGCCGACAGCCGCTGCAGCTGCCCTGGAAGCCAAAGTGCCCCGGGGCGCACTGGTCGCAGAGGGCGCCCACCACGTTGGGGTGGCACTTGCACTCGCCGCTCTGGTGGTCGCAGTACTCGCTGCCGCACTGGTTGCAGGCGCAGGCGGCGCAGCTCTTCGCGGTGATGGCGTCGCCGTGGAACCAGGGGGCGCAGCGCTCGCAGTGCTCCCCCGAGGCGTTGTTCAGACACTTCAGACAGAGGCCGCTGAGGGCGTCGCAGGCGCCGACGTCCAGCGGGTCGATGTTGCCGTTGCACTCGCACCGGCGACAGGAGCGCCCGGCCAGGCCGGGGTGGCCGAAGTGGCCGGCGGCGCAGACGTCGCAGCGGGTGCCGTTGTAGCCCTCCTTGCAGTTGCAATTGAGCACCGAGCCGGAGGGGGAGACCTCGCAGCTGGTGGCGAAGCTGGTGATGGGGAGGTGAAAAGATTTGTTTGAACTCGAACCACAAAAAAGTAAAAAAGTACTCACTTGTTGGAGGCAATGGGCAGTGGACAGGCGCAGATGATGCAATCGTGTGGCGTGCCTCGCGTCGCATCGCCGTGGTAGCCCTCCACACAGCGCTCACAGTGGTCGCCCTCGGTGTTGTACTTGCAGCTGAAGCACCGCCCGCTGACCGGGTCGCACTGGTTGCTGTGCCCGTTGCAGTTGCAAGGCACGCAGGCGCCCAGGTAGGGGCCCAGCTTGATGCGGTAGTAGCCCTCGGCGCACTCCTCACAGGAGGTGCCCTTGTAGTTGGGCGGGCAGTTGCACCGCTCCACACTGAGCGCCTTTGTCTGATTACCACTGGAGGCCAGGCCCTTCATAGTGGACGTGCTGCTCGCCGTGTCCATCAGCACGTCCTGCAGGACGATTTCCGTGGTGGGGTCAAAGTACTTGATGCGCACGTAGATCGCTTCCAGGCGGACGAGGGCCATCATCAGCTTCTCGCGGCTGATGGAGCTGC